GTAAAGAGATTAAATGATGACATCTCTTCACTACCGACCAATGCACCACGAGTGCTCCTGTTGGTCATTTTGGCCAGCCAATCACGTACTGCGGTACAACACAGTGGCTTGTGGGTAGTTGCGTGCAGTACGGGTTTGTACCGCGCATTTTGAATAGCTGCATCTGTATACTGGTTGAAGTTCAATGATTCAAACTTGGACTCTGCTATTGTTTAAACAAGAGGATTATAGGATAACAAACTCCACAAACATTGTTTTTCCCATACAGAGATATAAAACTGCTATTGGTTTGATAATAGGTGTAAGTGTTTTGGGGAATAAAGTGTCCTGGCCCACTTGGTCAGACATAACTCTCAAATTACCCTGATCCAGAGTTTGTTGCAAGAAATATATGAGACCATGGGACTCATTCTATTACTGTCCCTCAAATTTCACATTATATTGTGGTTTAAGATCAGGACAAGTTTTCAAGATGTCTTCCAAAACATGCTACGTAGAAAAAGGTTTGCAACCCAACAGGCATTAAGTTTATTTCCAAATGATCTCGAACACCATAATGCTTGTTAAATGATTAAATAAACTTTCTGATTGTACAATGTACTGTACACATTTTGACATTATTTTGTATAAATTAATAGTGTTGCATGATTTCTCTAGCGAGCCAATAGTTTCAACATTACTAGCAAAACATATGTCAATTGAGAAATAAGTGGTTGTCTGACTTTGACCACAATAATTAAACCCTTGAGCAGCTCGAAAACGTGTACTCAGTGGTTAAACAGAGCAGTCTACACAAGAGTAATGAGATTCTGCACAAACAGCTTGCTGAATTAATGGTGGAGTCCTCTGGAGAGATCGCTTTTCCTTACATCACTGGACCGTTTCCTACCTTTGATGTTAAAGAAATAAAAAGTCCCCCCCACCTTCTTGCCTTTCACCATGGTATTCAGCACACAATAATAGAGTTGTCCAGTGTTTTAAAACAAGTTGATTTGTTTCAAAAGCGATCGTTTTATTTTTTCGTTTCTCAACCTAATCGCTTAACAAAGCATGAGTCATATTGCCGTGCTGCACTCTGGTCTCAGTTGACTTGGGGTAGTCTCATGTGCATACTCCATTCCCAGTTGTTATCAGCCCTTTCAACAAGTCTTTACAATGCAGTGGCCCCAGTGTCTCATGGTAGCAAATCCAAATTTTTCTTAGCGAAATTCCTAAATTGTTGCCAATGACCAGACATCACCTTGTATCAAATTCACATGAACGGAAAACTAATTATAGATTAAAGTGTAGCATACACTGCACAAATAAAGAAACCAAACTGTAGTCTGTGAACTTGTTATATGACATTCATTGATTTCTTCTTTTTTCTGTTTCAAACTCGTTGCATAGACCCATAGTCATGGACTGAAGACCTACAGGAACTGTCCTGTGATCTTAAAATGCAGTCTGATCTACTTTATAACCCAAATTCCTGGCCATCAGATATGGGCATTCTACTAAGGCCAGTGTTCAACCATTTTATTCAACAATTCATCAATTTCCCTTCAGGATCAATAAAGTCTTATCTATTTTATTTTTTCAAGGTTTTTCCTACTCTTAATATTTCTACCTGTTGCTTGTTGTTGTCTTTTTCTCCAGCAATAATGTATATACAAGAATACAATATTTGTGACATACTGTAGCTATCAGCTATATTATAAATAGTTTCTAAAATATTTTGTGGTAAGCTCACTGTAACTGACACTGTATTCTTCTGCACAGTGGATGATGCTAAAGAACACTGCATGACAGATATAATGCAAGTGGTATAGAAATACTAGAACTGCAAAAAAATAGCACTATATGCAAATTTACGAAGGTGATCTTTCACAAGAAAGGGTCTGTGACTGTGGACTATTGCACAACTACCTTGAAAGTTTGGTTTTACCTTAAAAATTTCCAACTCAATTAGGATGCCTGGGGTTTTCAAACAAAGAGGTCTCAAAGCACTCTTTAAGGCTGTCTTTCTAATCATAGGCTTAAGATCACCCCACACTTTGAAAATTAGATAAAACCTACATGTTGTATTTATCAGTAAACAAGATGTAATCTGTCAACTGTCTCAGGCACCACATCAAATAAAAAACACTGCTTCGCTCTTCCTCCTCTATACAATCCTCCAACTTTTCAGAAACAGACAAAACGGTTGCCTTTCATTCTGGAAGCCCATTAGGGCATGTTGGACAAATTCCATTCGTCCATCCATTTTGTAACAGCTTTATCCAATTCAGGGTCGCAGGGGAGCCAGAGCCTATCCCAGCAAGCAACAGGCAAGGTAGGCTACACCCTGGACGAGACACCAGTCCACCACAGGGCAGACACAGACACACACACACATATCCATATCTGGTCGAGTTTTTCCCAAAGTTAATTAACCTGCCAGCATGTCATACAAACTCCAAGCAGATAACACCCCAGGTCTGGAACTGAACCAGGTGCCCTATTGTAGTGCAATGCTAACCACTGTCCCACTTTCTAAAATAAAAAAAAAAAACAAATAAAATCCAAAAGACAGTTTTTAAAAAGCACTAAGAGAAAAAATCTGTTGTGTATAGAGAGAAGAGACACACTCCAATTCAATCTTATTTGGAAAATGTTTCAACAGAAAAGAATAATTCTTTTAATACATTTTTCTTAATTATAAGCACTAGAAGAAAAATCCCCTACACTCAACCCCACACATTCTACACGAGACACACCTCGAAGAGCATCCCAATTAAGGATTTTTCATCTAGAGATGAAGGGCAAACATCACAGGGCAGATACTCCATGAAACAAAACTTCAAAGAGTCTAGTGCAAAGTTAAATCCCCCATAACAAATACAGCTGAAAGCATATATTTTAGGAACAGCCACAGGAAGTACTTTAGAGAAATGACTTTTGCTGGAGAGTCTAAGTAAGGAGTACTATTTTCTAAGAATAAATCATTTGACCCAATCCTGTTTCTACTGACCCATCTGAAGTCCAATGTAAGTGAGGTCAGCAAATGTTCACCACTACACTATGTACTATAATAATTACCACATGGTTAGTTAACATAGTATGAATTTAAGTCTCCTTTAATTCATGCTAAGGATTAGTAATTTATACAGTTTACTGTCTGTACAGTACAGTATATCAACACACAAACCAATACCTGTAGGAACAAGAACTATAGCAAATGAAGGTCAAACTAGGATATATGAAGCAACTGTTTCTAGCAGCGTAGAAACCTTTGAAGATAATAAGTACCTGTTTTGTAAAAGGAAAATTTTGTAATGAAGCCAAATGTTGTTTCATTTGTTTGAATACATTCTGAAGAAGGAGACGGGTCTAAGGATTGTAAAATTATACATTTTGCAACGTTGAAGGTTCATATGTGAACTATTGCACTGTGAACAAGGATAGAGAAAGTGCATTTTTAAACTATTCTGAAATGTAGTAATTCTTTTTAAGGTAAAGCTGTTACTTTAATACAGGCTCTCTGCTTTTATTTGTTCATGTGAGTACCTGTTGTATTTAGGCATTTTGGATCTTGTATTTCAGGAGGACGGTGAGATTTGTAAAACAGCTAATCTGTTAAGTAGATCTGTTTCATTATTCTGAAAGTTGAAAACTCTTCATAAAATGCTTCCTGAATAACGGTTAGGCTTAATCCTCTTTCATTCCTTCATCCTGTTTTAGAAGGAGAATGAGGTATGGCCTGTTCATTCAATAGTGTGGCACAAAAAAAGTTCACAACCCTTAATTAATGAGACTTAGTCATTCTGTCCTCTTTACTCTTCATATAACCTGAACAGCAGTCAATAAATCGTGCCCAGAGGGCTTTTAAATTGAGGAAATACAAAATGCACTTATAATAATGTCAAGCTCTTCACATCCAAAGAGCCTCCTGAAATGAAAATTGAGAAGGGCAAAGGCATAATGGACTTCTATTTGATAAGCTCCTGTAAAACCAATCACAAATGATTTGGCAAATCACTTGAGCTTACAGAAAGGCATTCTGCATTCAGCAAATTTTCATAAATGTAACACTTAAACAGTTAAATGCAAGTGTCATTTTGTGAATGATAACTTCAGAAATATAAAACAGGTGAGGACAGGCAAAATACGTGGCATAACATGTTGGAGTATTATGGAAAATGGCATACTGTACAGTATGCCTGTCGAGGCGTCATCCTTTGGCTAGCAGACTCCTTCTCAGTTGTCTCAGCAGGAAGACATGAGTTAAGAAGGTCAGAGTTCACACTTAAAGAATCCAGTGAGATATTTTTGTTTTTGTGTTAACAGCGCTGCACCACACGGCCCGCCGTCTGCCAGCGGACCTCCAGTCCGAAATGCTTTTCAAGGAGTGCAGGACCCGAGTCACACCGGAAGCCTGGAGGATCACAGGAGAAACGGGCGCCTCGCAGCTGCCATCATTCCTGAAGCCCCAGATATAACTCGAGCAGCCTCAGCTGTGAACCTCAGATGGTCACAAGATAAAATAGCACAGGTGGCCGGGACTAGCCAGCCACCTGCACTGGAAAACAGTGCTCGAAATCTTGGATGTACAGTATGTGATCAAGACAAATGAAAAAACAAAAAACAAAGCTAGCAGGCTAACCCAGGTCCCTAATTTTCTGAGCATTTTGAGCATTATTTTACTAAAGTTTTGTTTTCTTCTCCACAGATGGTGAAGGATTGTAAGGTACTTTAACTGTTAGAAAGTTTGATATGTATGCTTTCGTTTTAAAGCTTTTTTGACACAGTAACCCATGTAATTAATCTGTAATAAACTGTCAAAGTTGTCGACAGCATTTTGACTAATCCTGTATATAGACATACCAGATATACAATAGATCCAAAATACACCTAATTAAACAACAGAAGCAATACTATGCTGCTCATCTACCAATATTCTCTACAAGTCTTTCTAGGAAAATGCTAGAAAGACTGGAAAATAAAAGCCACCAGTACCTGAGCGGCTGTGTCTTACTCACCGTCGTCGCTGTCTGCCAGGATGACCACCCTGGTGCTGGGGTATTGAAGGCCCACCTGCCCACCCATGGGCATACTGAGGGTGACGTTGAAGGCCTCCTCCTCCTCGTACAGAGAGTCGTCTATGATGATCACACGGCAGGGCTTCTCGCGCTCGTCCTTGTCGAAGCGCAGCACGCTGGTGTGGTCCTCAGGGCGGCTGATGTAGTCGGAGTACGACAGCACAGTGCTGGGAACGGTGCCCAAGGCGCTGCCTGAAGGAAGCCACAGTGAGGGACTACAATCTACAGACTGTACTGTAGACAAGAACATTTACAGCAGGGCGAGAGGAACTACTTTCAACCATTTAGGTCCTGAAGGATAACAATCTGTTCAAGTGTCAAAATCAAATGTAGCAGCACAAAATTTACAAAAATACAACTTTTTTTCATGTATTTAGATGACATGGGTATCAGTAAAAACCCAGAATAATAGGAGGGAATTTCACATATCACTGCTACGTTTGCTGTAACAGTGGTATGTTATAGTGGTATGGTTCTGTTACCACTGTTATGCTGTATAAGTACAGTATAAGGATTATTAATTATTATACTTTTATTTTATATTTGTAAATTTAAAGGCACAGATGACTTAATATACATCTATCCGTTACCAGAAAGCCACTTATTCCTGATATGTTTGCAGCAACCAGGAGCCTATCATGGAAGCATGGAGTGTAAAGCAGGAAACACATCCAGGGAAAAATCAGAGACATCACATCAATAAATATAACCATTATGTCATTAGGAGGTGGGAGGAAACGTGGGCACCTGGAAGAAATCCTAATGAATATGAGAGAGAACTCCCCACAGAAAGCACCCTGGGGCAGAACTGAAGTCAGGACCCTAATGCTTAGAGGTAACAGTGTTAACAGTGCACTTATCATGAAGCCGTTTGTTTAATGATATATACTAACAATGCATTAACAATTTGTGCTGATGCAGCACACCAAAGCCGATCAAGAGATCTACCAATGAACACTTGAACAATCTTTCCAAAATGTAGAATACAGCCCAAGACATCTCTGCTGATGGCAGAATTAATCCCTAACATTCAGTGTCTCATGTAAAGAGCTGACATCCCTTAAAAGTTAACTTGCCAAAACTGGGCACCAGGAAATCAGGGGCCCCACCTCCAGTATAGGCAGGTGCAATCTGACTGCCCTTCCTTGCTGAATTTGTATTTGTTGATTGGAGAAAAGGTACTGTGCTTCACCAGGGTTAAAACAGGGTACTATACTTACATTGTATTACCAAACTAGCAATGTGCAGAAACTGTTCGTTTTGCTTTTGTGAGCTGGCAATATATTTAAAAACGGGGGTTTTATAATTAAGTACAACACAGGAGCAATAAGAGAGGTTTGATTTTATATACAGTATGCCTCATGTTTTTGCTTTTCCATTTGGACTGGTGATCTGTTTTTCAATTTTGTAACTCCCTAAATGTGGACTCCCTATACATAATCAGCTAGACTCAGTGTTATGACCCGGGTACACGGAGAAAGAGAATAAAATCTAGCAGCAAGCCCACAAGTCCTTTCAAAACACTCAATATTATATCAGGTAATTTTTCCACTCACAGTGTTGCTGTCACCTGTACCATACAATGGCAATAGCAGATGTAAATCAATGTTTATGGATGTACTCTTTAAACTGCAGGGCACAGCATATTCCTGCTAACTGCCATCAGCATCGCACTGACAAAATTTAAACTGTGACTTTCTTCATTCTCTGAACTCTTGCTTACTTTGGAGTTTTTACTTCTGGAAAACACAAATAGAAGAAGATGAGACCTACCGCAGGCTATTTGGCCAGGCCGACTAATTCTTCCTCTTTGTCTATGAAGTTGAGTTTAGACAGCACCGGTGTGTCAATATTTATTTAGTACTTTGCTTTTCAAAGTCTAGCTGTGACCAAACAATATGTCAGCTGCTGTCTCACCTTGCTGCGTAGAGCAGATGACCATCAGCTCTTGACTGACATCTCCAGACCTCCTGACTGGAATCAACAGCTCACCAATGTCCTCTTCAATCTTATATTCTGACTGAGGGATGAAGACAGTGGATTCTGTAGAACATAAAGAAAGGCTACTATAGTATCTAACAGATTTTAAATGCCAAGTGCCATTTGGAATATTTCTTGCATGTGTAATTTGCATCTAAGACCAGATGGAGCAAACCAGCAATAATACCAAAAACATAAGTACATCCCAAAACAAACCAGTGTGAAGTGAGATGATAGATTCAGACATCTTTGTGAGTGAGACCTGAGAGATGGGTTTTTATTCACGTTCAGGTAGCGACAAAACAGGTCACAGTGGAGGAATGAGGAGCATGCTGTGCACATCCTGGTTGTTAGCTGATGAACTCGAGCCCCAGGATTAACACTGACACATTAGGCAGGTAGGAAAGCTTTTCAGATCTTTTTGCTGCTACAAAACAAGTCTCAACCTGCTCGAGCCATAAAAAAGGTTTGAAAAACAAGAATTAGAGGATTGACCAAAATGAACTAGCTCTAACTAAACGGAGGTCCAGGAATTGTATTTTCTGCTAAAGAGAACAAAAAGATCAAACTACATCCAGGCCTAATCAGAGATGTACTGGAGAAACACAGGCAGAGCACAGGAGATTGCAGTTTCATTCAGAAGCATTCAGGCCTATTTTAACATTCTTACTTCAATGGGTTGTGAAGGACTTCTAAAAAGCATGGGAATGCAATTCTGAACACAAATAATGCAAAAAAAAATCCCTCAGATTATCTATTGAAAGCAGTTTGTTGCTCCTGCTCATGCTGTGACATACAAACTCTGAAGGGCCATGGCGGAGCAAGAAGACTTTACATCACAGTAGTGTCTTTAATCTGTCTTTAGCAGATAAGAGCTCACACGTGCTCGGGAACAGGATTTTTCAAAAGCATGTATAATGTGCTCAATAATTAAAATGTATTCAATAGTTTAAAATGTAAGATGCAATCCTCTTTCTGACTTTTATTATCCATTTGAAGTCTTCCATGCATTGTAGAAATCACTGTTTGCACTGGGACATGCATATACAAATCTAGAGTTTCTGTGTGATCACAGGAACCTTTTATCTGAGGACATGTACAATGATGTGGATGTGGATGAGACATACAGTACATTACCCTGGAAGTAGGCTACAATGTTCAGTATATAATATCTCAGTTAGTGACAAAGTTGACTGCAGTACCATCGCCAGGATCCACAATCTCCACAGTGGCGGCTTCGGGGAACTCCAGAACTGCCATGACAGGATCGGACAGGACAATCTGAAAGGTTTCCGACGTCTCATACTCCTGGTCGGTGAGGATTTTGACTCGCCACGTGGCCGAGCTCTGACCAGGGTTAAACTGCACCTGCTTCTGGGCTTTCCCCCTGAAATCCTTGTCCTTCTCTGCAGTGCCATCCTTTGTGCCAATACCTTATTTGACCAAAAAAAACATGATCACTGAAAGCAGTTTTACTGAGAATGGAATAAGATCACCGACAGATGAGCGATATTTTTCAGTGCTGAAGGAAGAAATATCCTTCCTTTGCACTGAGGTGTTAAACATAAAAAATATGTAGTTATTTTTAATTCTAGGTGCTTTAGCAGCAGTTTATATAACAGAAATATTAGTGAATAAACTTGCTTAAGAGGATCAGAGCATTAATGTTTTTTTTCTAAAAACAAAGAGACTAAGTGTTACAACGCACTGAGAAGGAATCATATCTCAGGCTGTTAGTGTTAGTAATAATAATTTTATTGTGCACTCAGTAAAGTGGGTCTTCGACCGAAATGGAAAGGATATATGCAGTATATAGTATCTGAAACATAAGAACAATTTAATTTTATCCTAAAGTATGTTTTATTTTTATTTGAAATTGACTAAAGAATTTCAAAGCAGAAACCGGAAAGCATGTTTCTTTATAAAGGGTTATTTGGTACTGAAGGCCAGTGTGTCAGTTTACCTCCCCGAGATTAAAATAAAGAACCTTTGTTCTGTAATTTATTTATTTCAAGGACAATATAATTTTAGCACCAATTTCTTCTCTCGGACACATGGCAGGCAGAAGCTCAGCTCTTCAGTAGAAAGATGTGGTTGGGTTGGTGTTCAAGGCTGCCCGCTGGCAGTAAACTGACTCACTTAAAGCAAAAGCCTTCAGTCTTTAACACATTAATTCGTCAAGCTGTTTAAATCAACAATTTGATCATTGGGCATTGTTTTCTATTATTCTTTGACAGAATTAAGAAATATATATTTTTTGTTCGGTCACCTGTCCAAATGTGAGTTAGGCTCTACCTTGCTAAAATTCTGAAAAAATATATACTGCTTGAAGAAAAAGGAATTATGTGCTTGATTTTGCTTTGGCTGACCTCTGTAAACTGCATTATCTACTCCTGGAATCAAATGAACTTTTAACTGGTAGAAGCCATCAGGCAAGCAACACACAACTGTGACAAATCAGTTTCTCTGAAGGGCAGATATGATAAGAACTTTTGAATGTCTGAGGCCTTGTTGTGGGGCATGCAAGGCGTGCATTGTATATGTACAAGAGTTCAAGACTCTTCGATGAAAGTTTGATTGAGTGTCTTTTTGTCCTTAATCAAGTCTTTAAGGATAAATTCCTATTCAGACACATGAAGAAAAACCAGCGTAGTGTAGACAACGCCATGAGTCTGATATTCAAACAATTTAAGTCACTCTTATCTTGCCTCTTTGGATTTTTCATTGTGGGAAGAAGCTGAGACTACTTTTAAATTAGTCCTTTTTTGGTAACAAAAATTGGGCTGAAGTAGAAAATATTGTCATTTTGTCACCACTCCTACCCAGGGTTAAAATGCTAATATTTATAACACTACTTCAACAATGGTCTTGGGGTTTTTTATGCATTTACTCAGAAATATTTCTTATAGGTACCTTAATATTGTGAGGAGAATACTGTAAATCAAGGGACAAAAACTAGAACTCTTGTACTGACCATCCAACAACTTCCTCCTGCTTTAAGTAGTTTGCATATTTAGTATATTTAGTATACCTGTATATTTAGTAGATTCTGATCTTTATAGGATTCCCAAAAAATAACCATTTCATTTAATTTCACTTGAATTCCAGGGTTGTGCCATTAAAAAAAAGGAAATAAACTTGAAAAGATAGGAGCAACATCCATAACCCATGAAAACACACAAAACAAACAAGAGGAAATAGGAAAGGAAACACTGGAGATCCTGAAGCTGTTTTGTGTAATCCATGCTAATGGACACTCACTGACAAAAGATGTCTCTCCTAAGTATCCTCTGCGTTTCAAGGTAATGTCCAGAAATTTGGAGTCCTCATCCACCAGGTAGAACTCCCTCTCCAAAGAAATCCAAGCCCAGTTGAGTCGGAATGGCTGGTTCTTCAGCTTGTTACCCCCTGTATGGTGAAACAGAAACTCATGGGAAAACATCCAGAGATCTTTTACAACATGAGCATGACCAATACAGTGTTTCAAAGGGCACACTGGTTGTTTTCACGCATTGAGACACTTTTTTTCAATTTAGTTTTTATGTATTTTATACTTCATGAAACAATATAACATGGAAATATATAGAAGAAGATACATTTATATAAGGTCTTAATTCAGGTCGATACTACAGTATGAACAGTACTGTGTGAACACCAGCACATTAATAAAGAAGGCGTCACCACCGAAACACTGTTTTTTCTTCTTTTTACTTCTCAGCATTACCGTTAACCTCTACTTGATCCATTGCATCTTGGATGCAGTTTCTTAGTTGAACCTCTTCACTAGTGGATCCCAGCCCTGTACCTGAAGGAATGCTGACTACTGAAGCTCTAAATCTCCAGTCTGATTGATTACTTTAATTGATCTGCATGCTTGTTTAGACTTGTGGTCAACATGTTTGTGCTCGCAGCCCTGAATTTCCAAAATACCAAACTTTCTGGGTATGGTTTCTGTCATCTTTAAGCAGCCTCTCCTCAACTTGGTTTCCTTAATTTTACAGCTCTTAATAAGTGATCACGGATGGGAGTGACCCAGTATTTCACTCCAACAGATTTTATTTTTCTTCTGCAGAGGTCCAAGTGCTTACATTTCATGCAACACTACTTGAAGAGAGCAGTTAAAAAAAAAACAGAAACTGGTACAATGTGGATATCAGTTACAAATCCCATGTGTCCTTTTAAGAGCTGAAAGCAAATTTAAAAACATATCTTAAAAAGAAAAGTGCTCTATGTAATGTATGACCCTCTAATTTGCCCCTGCTGGGATTTTATCGCAGCTGACTACAGGTTTAAATTCATATATAGCGCTGCTCCCTAGACAGCAGACAACTCTGCTAGGCCAAAAGAGCAGGCCACACATATCTAAAGTGAGTAAACTGTTATAACACATTTTCTTATCCCACTCAAACAGCACATTTTTTAGAACACATCTGATCTCACACAATGATTTTTAACGCAACAAATATTTTCTCGCAGCATCAACAAACTTGCTTTTGTTTGCTTTTCAGAATTGATTGTTTAGTGAAGCTGAAATAGCAATTATGTTACTTGCCATTGGAAATACACATTTCTTGTTTCTTTTTTGAGTTTTGATTTTGAAGTTCTTACACTCTAAATAAAGGAAGAAAATATAAACAAAACAAAAAAGGCAAGATGATATAGGTGTTGATTTCTAGGCATTTTCAAAGACAAACTCTTCAAACTGTACAAGGTTTAATTTCCTTGTATTAAGCACCACCCAGGCAGTCATGGGCTGTGTCTGGATGTTTTAAGTGTAACACTTTTCACCTCTGAACCGGAGAATGAGTTCCATACTAGATGGAAAGAGACTTGAGCTGAGACTTAATGAGTCACATGCTGAAAGAGTTAGGTGGTCTGAGTTTTCTTTAAAAAAAAAAAGCCTCCTACATTACCGTACAGCACTAATAGATCTTAATTCCTGAGCGTCAGTTGTGAGAGGCCTGATGATTAAGAGTGTGAGGGGTGGCTCTAATGGAGGCAGTGGCTGGGACAGCACAGCCCAGAGAAGTTACAGGTGTCATACTGCTGTCACAAGCCCAGACTGCCTCAGCAGCTTGAGGGCAGGGCTCTGTGCAGGCTCAATTAACTCTGTGACCCAGAAATGTGGCTGTGTCACCTGGAACCCCAGGAAACTGAACAGTAAGAGGCCCTAGTGATAATCTGCTTACCAAGTTTTTCAAATATTTGCTGGAGTCCCTGTAAATGAGACAACAAACCACTAGTTCTTTTAGAAACCCTGCTAAAACTAGACTGAATCCACTGCTGGGGTACTCCCGAATAGTATCTATATACAGTAGTGCATATACTGTAATTGTTCCGATAAATACAGATTTATATTTTTTGACTAATTTGTAAATATTCATTTTTAAAATGAATGATTAAATTAAGACAACTGAGAACAAATTGTCATTTATTAAGCTGATTGGGTTAAGAGGTTGACATCATTATTGCACAGAAAATTAAGCTGTGAAAAGAAAGAACACATAAATAAGGTGTAAATAATGTAACATGATGTGGCAATCATAAAAAGGGCAACCATCAGGCAGACATTGTTTAATCATATATAACTGAAAATGTGCACAGATCAAAAGGTGGATACTTTCAGCTTGTGCTCCAAAACAGTAGCTGCTTTTAAGAGGTTAAATTTGATAAAACTACTATACTGTATATTAATTTGCAAGATGGCACTGAGTAGTGTAATAAATCATGGTAGATAGGAAACTCTGTCCTCAAATATCTGCAGATTAACTTTAATCAGGCGAGCAATTTTTCCAAAATGCTGAGAGGACCAATCAATCAAACTCTAAAAGGTAAATATACTGCAGTAAAGCAACATTCACGTTTAGTGCACTCTTGGTTTAGCATTTGATGTCTTAAACCAGAACTGAATTCAGTTTAAAATGATGTTTTAAAGGACATTCATCATTTATTTATCAATAAAGAGCATTTTGAAGTGATGTCTTACTTTGTTCAGTTAAAGAGATAAGAGATAAGAATAGAAGAACATACAGTAAGAAAGGTGACAAATGAAAGGAGGCCATTCAGTCAGTCTGGCCCATTTGGTAGTTAGTAGTTTATTGACCCAAGGATCTCATCCAGTCATTTCTTGAAGGAAGCCAAAGTATCAACCCCACTGCTGAGTAGTTTGTTCCAAACTCCCACTGCCCTTTGGGTAAAGAAATACAGCCCTTTCTCAGTTTTAAATGCACTTCCAGATAGTTTCCACTTGTGTCCTCTGGTTCATGTTTCCCTGTACACTTTGAAGTATTTCATTGCATTGACTTTGTCAATGCTGTTGATGATCTAAGTTATTTTTATCAAGTCCCCTCACAGTCATTTCTGTTCAAGACTAAAAAGGTTCAGTTCATTCATCCATGTCAGTATAACAGCATAGATCAAGGTCAGAGCATAGATACAGAGGTTTCCTATTTGCTATCACCAATTTTTGTAAATCACAAGACAGCTGTTAAAGCTACTCTGAAAAAGTCTGCCACTGTACTATCACATGCCTGTCTAGTTGCTTCAGCATTATATGTCCTGATATTCTTGACACTGTCAATTCCAGCACTAAAGACTAATTGAGATCATTTCAGGTCTTTTCCTATAGCAAAATGACTTCATTCCAGTTTGACAGCACAAGTGCACCCTGACCTTTCTTGCATTTGCCTCTAAATTGGTATGACTTTGAGAATGTTGCCAGGACAAAGGCCACGCTGATTGGTTTTGCACCAGTAGCTACCAGGACTGGCTGTGCTGGGATTTCCTGACTGCACAGGAGCACAGAACCTGAAGGAAAGAGGTATGCTGGGAGATGTGAAAAGTGTCTAACTCTGTCTTCCAGAACTTGAAGGAAGAGGGGTCATAACAGGGAAAAGGCATTTCTGCTGTGTCCTTGAGTGATGTACTTCATTCAGATTGATGAGGAAAAATGCTCTTTAAGAGTACAGAGGCAATTTGCTTTAGATAAAAGTGACAGGAAAACTGATCTAAAATTCTAAAATGTTGTTTAGAAGGATCCTTTTGACAAAACTTATTCAAATATGACACGGTTTGTTATTTTCTATGAAACAAAACCAATTAATTGATAGAAAAAACGTTCTGTAGAAAGCATAAACACACTCTTTTTAATATATCTTCCCCATTGGCACATCTTTTTAGTATTTGTCTGAGGATTTTTGTGCTTTAAGAGTATAGGCGATAAAAAAGCCCAGAGCATACATACAGTATATACATTTTCAATAGCAGCTATTTTTTGTAACCATATTTACTTTCCAAAATCAGGATATGAACAAATTCTGGCTTGTAAATTGACAAATTAATTTTATAAAGTAATTGGTCTTTACAGAAAGCTGACACTCAACGAATGGCATTTTGATTCTGCATATCATATATCCCCATGAAAGTGAGAAAATAGAATATTAATACATGTTTTAGCAAGAGTAAATAAAATTCAGTCAGTGATAAACTAATATGATAAGAGTGTTCTGAAATGTAAATGCCTAGAAGCCTTATTTTCTCTTAATAGAAACTACCTGCATATTAACATGAGTTTTAAAAATGAGTAGAAGTATGAATTAAATCAACACACTTTGAATTAATCATATTAATTGCTAAAATTAGGATAATTACCTGTTCATTATCTGACCTTAAGTGAGTGCGTTGTTCTTCACATTGAAATTCTGTTTAGAGAACATTTAATATCCTCTCAGCCATGTGCAGACTCCACAACAAAGGCATGATCCAAAATGATCTGTAATCTCTAGTGGCAGATAAATTTAGGAAATTATATTTAACTATGAGCTGAACGTATACATTCATTGACTGAATGGATCACTAGTTTGGCTTTTTCTGAGCAATAAAGAATATAAAAGCTAAAATCACAGCTGTCAAATCTATCAAAAAACATTCTCTTATCTTATGTAGTTTTGATGTTTCCTGTAAAAGCTACATCTGAATTCTGTGCTTTTAACGTAAATGTAGTCTTTGTTGAGCTGTTTCTTTTGAAACTTTTTTTGAAATCATAGCTACTGATTCAGGGGTGATGCACATAATTCAGTTATTTATATAGTTTTGCAAGAACCACCTATCATTTACACATTAGCTCACATTGATACTCTTTTTCAAATCACACATTTTGAAAAAAGTTCTAGTTTAGTGTGGACTGTCAATGGACACTATCAGCCAGCATCCTGTTCATTCTGTTCACATGAGGCAGAAATAAAACCACCCTGCTGTGTGGATAAAAAGAACATTCAATATTCTTAAAATTGTCGCGGGATATTTCCTTTGGCCCATATTTAAACATACAGCCTAATAATATCTAAGACATAACATGGTCAAGCTACACTTACCAAAACTGGATAACCATAGATATGATTTGAAATGGA